CAGAAACATAACAGAGCTTTTAGTAACAGGACACTGCCACATTGTCCTGGCCCCCTCTGCTGACTTGGATCCATCAATTCTTCCCATGTGCCGCCAATCAGTCTAACTGCAGAGTGACCTTCTCTGTTCAACATGATATGAGTCATCACATATGGAAAATGTTGAGTCAGCATTTTGAATGACCTTGAAAAATAGATCAAATGAGTGTGTGTAATGTGGAAGGAGTCACTCATAGTGACGAATCCACAGAGATAATTATCATAAACTTTGCACTGCCCCTCAGCTCTGTGGACATTTTTTTGCATTTTTTTACTTTTATGGCCAAAAATGTTACTTTTATAACAACCTTGTTTCCAGCACCAGTCAGCTGTTTTTAGTGAAAAAGTTCTAAAGACTCACTGTACACTACCTGCTCAGCAGCAAACAGCAGACAGACACAGAGACTAGCTGGTGGACTTTTTCTTTGTTGACACCGTCTGTTTCTGACCTGAACTGTGAACAGAAATGTCCAGGGGCTGATAAAGGTCATTGGACAGCTGCTACAGATGCAGGCAGAACAGAGAGACAGAGGGAAACACTTCACCTGTCCTTACTCTATCAGGTCAGTTTCATATACGCAGTGTCTTAGTGTGTGTATTGTCTCTGTGTGTTGACTTGTATAAAGCATTCGTGTCTATTCGTATCATTGTTTCTGACTGTGGTTTTGTATAAGATATAGTTGTGATGATATGATATATGATATTATCACGATTCAAAACTGTATATCATGGGGAATTTGAATTATCAGGATAATCTGGAATATTCTCACCTGAGTGACTAGAAAAAACAGTCTTCCTTGTCAATATACAGTATATTCCTTTTTTTATTTTTATTTTCACAAGAGGGATTTTGGAAAAATCTTTCCAGAATCCTAAGCCTGTCACCATGGCCTAAAGCTCAGTTTACTCATTGTATCTATGCGAGCTGTTTCACTTTGATTTAGATCATCTGGATCTGGATAAACTACAGGCCATTGTCACATTTTGACCTCAAACAGTAGGGTAAACACAGGTGTTATTAGTTATATTAATTAAGGTTCAAGTTCATTCAGGTCAAACAGAGTCAGGGTGCTGCTATTGTGCATGTTGGCTCACTGGGAAGGTTCTGCTACACTAAATGGAACTGAGCCTTAATTAGTATCATTGGTAACACCTGTGTTTACCCTACTTTATTAAGGCTCATGGCGTTTTCATGGCGACAGAGAAAACAGCGTAAACTGAAGGCAAGACTGACCGAACATAAACCTGCCATTAGATCATACAGAAAACTCAATAAGGGGAGGTGAAAGATACACAGTATCCTGGTTTGAATGGGGACCTTGACTTTTTTCCTTTTCTGTAACTGTCCTTATGTTTTTTGTTTTTTCCAGCATCTGAGTCTTTGAAAACGTCATGTGTCTTTTTGCCTGGATGTAGTGAAAAATGTTAAGAGGTTTTAAGACGTTGTATGAGACATTATGTGGGATTTTTTATGTGTGGTGTCCTCTGCTGAACGTGGTCTTTAATGAGATTTTACCTGTCTACTCTAATAATGTAACTTGCCAACAGATATAAGAAACAGCCCGAAGGCAACCATTTTGTATTTGCCCTGATGATGGCCTGCATGGCTGAAACACGTCATGGTTTTTCACTGTTACTATGAGTAAATAGCCGTGAGAAAATAAAGGCTTTTTAAATCACTTTTTAAATCACCTTTCTTTACACCCAAACTGCACTCCATGCAGTTTGTTTTGTGACTGTAATACAGCATTTTCCCTGAGAATGTCGCCACCCAGTTCGTAACACTGCAAATATATAAATATTGCAATGCTTGCATCAGTAGGCCATAGGCTCAATCACCATTATGTGACCTAATTCACTGATAGACAGTGACATTTATTTAAATGAAAATTGTTGAGATTGCCAACTTAAATCAGCAGTCAGTTTCATTTACCAGGTTAAACATGGAGACTTCCTGTTGTTGGGTTTTTAATAAATGAAAACAGACATTTCATTGGAAGCTTTTGTTAAGAGAACGGTCTAGATTTAATAATGCAGTTATTCTTCAGAGTCATGCTAGTTCTGTGTGCTACAGGTCAGTCTAACTGGTTGAATATCCCCAGGCAGATAGAGCATAGTGTAGTGCTGTGTTCCTGCTGGAGGGTGGACGGAGCCCCCTGTTCCTCCTCCTCCTCCAGTCTTAGATCTGCACCTCTGCCAAGATCCTGGGGCCTCCTTAATCAGTTACAGCGGGTGATAAAAAGACTGTGCTGCTTTGTCTCTTTTCTTTTCCTTCATGTTTCCCTTCCTCCCTCCTTCTCTCCATGTTTTTTCTCTCTACCTCTGACACCCTTCCCTGCTTTTTTCCCCTTGTTCCCTCTTAACCTCTCTTCCTCCACATCTCTATCCCCTCTTCCTGTCTCTCCTACAGTCTTCTCCTCCTTCCCATTGTCCTTTCTCTTTCTCATTCTGTCTTCATCGCTGTCTCTGCTGTCTGCTCCTGTCTGGCGGCCTGAACCTCCCCGGTGGGAAGATGAATGTGTCCAGGGCAGCAGGGTGGCGCCGTTGGCCTGTCAGTCTGGCCCGCCATTGGTCGCTGGGTCTGGCACTGCTGGGTAACTGTAAATGCTGCGGGATTAATGGAGGATGCATACTGGTGCCATTGTTGACCGTCTGCTCGCCGCTGCCCCGTGCAATCTGCCACAGAGACTCTGAGCCACTTCAGCCCCCAGCAGGATCGGGGAAGGTTCAGTCTGCCACACCACCTCATTTCTCATGTGCTGTTAGTCTGGCTGTGGTTGTGTAGTCTGTCCTGACTGTCCCCTGCAGGCTTTCCCACGTACTCAATGTATCTGGCCTGTCTGCTCAGGTGCATGGGGACATTTAATCCACACATTTATATAAATATGTGTCTGTCTTACAATTGTATTGTGGACTGTCTTTGTGTTTTGGTTTGTTTACAATACATCTGGGCAGTTAGCATGAGCAGCAATAGCAATTATAGCTGAATTGTCCAATGTCCCCAACAGAAACTCAGTGTTAACACAACATCACTATAGCCGATATTTAATAGATGCACCAATCCACTTTTTTTCAGTTCTGATCCGATTCTGGTTCCTGAATTGACCTTCCTAAATTTCACCATTTTTTTTCAAAGTTGTACAATGAAGGATGTAGTTCCCTTTATGCTACTTTTAAAAAACAAATTAAAAATGATTCATGAGTCATAAAAATAAAACAAAGATACTAATTTTCATGATGAATTGTTGAGGAGTCATTTGGAACCTCGGCCAACTTTCTCCTTTCCTGTACGTAGATATGCTGTGTGCTAGGCTTGTCTGGAAAATGTGAAGATAGTGGAAGGTAAAAGCAGCTGATTTATATATAGTCACATATATATTTAGCACAGGTAACTCATTTTAGCAAAACGCTAGCTAACCAGCTAGCTAATCTAGATCAGTTGTTGCTAGCTAGTTAATTAGCATTTTGAAAACATTAGCTTTCACATCTCTGAATACAGGCTTTACACACATTATAAGTTGCTGACCTGCTTTTCTGTGTTTGGAGACTAAAATATCTCCAAACTAAGTACGTGTTAAGTTAGCCAACTATGAAGCTCACTCAGTTACAGACTGTCTCAGGGTTATGGTCCAGTGCAATATCCACCTGTACTTCTAACTCATGGAATTCTGGGAGACAAACAAATATGGGGACTACTGGATATCTTTGTAGAGCTATTTAATTACTAATTAACTTCCTAACATTCCATTATTACATATTCATAAAATATGTACCGCTATGTAATTCATAAAACCATGTGACATTTTTAGCTTCAGAAACTAAAGCTTCTGGGTTTCAGTAAACTTTCTATAGTTTAATATAGTTATAGCTAATAGTTTAAATAGTCTGTGCTTGTTTGTGAGACATATTGTGTTTGTGCTACCATTGTTAGCACACAGATGAGCCCATTGTTTTTGCTTTCTCCAAAGTTAGAATACCATTGCATTTTCAGGATGAGTACTTTAGCCAGACCATCTTAACTGCTTTTGAAGTGAGGAGTGCTCACTGGATATTGGCTCATTGTGAGAAAGTTGTTTAGTTTTACCTGTTAAAAGATAGTATACAGATTAAAGACAGCTGCCAGAGATTTGTGAAGGGTAATGTTTTAGTGACTGCTGTCATGCTTTCAGATAGTAAATCCGGTCTTTACCTGAGAGGTTGATGTGACCTGCAGACATCTCCAGGAAGCTGGGCGTTGCAGCAGACACATGCTACCTGGCCCATTTGTCTGCCAGCATTCTGATTCAGCTGTGAACTTGGAGTTGAACTAAAAGGAAGGAAGGCCCCTGCCTTGACTTCCTGCCTCCTCCTTTGTGTGGCAGCTGAAAAGTAGTCAATGGCGTGAGAGGGCTGATGGATGGGAGCTGCATTGAAGCTGAGGGTTTGGAGACGGCCACGGGGAACCTGAGGAGGTGGGGGCAGAGATGGTCAGGCAGATTACACCATGTGAAGAGTAGGAGGAGGGGAGGAACTCGGCCTCTGAGTAGTCCATGTCTGAGCCACACTGCAGGCTGTCACAGGCACAGACATGCTCAGTCACTGAACTTCCTTCCTACGCTTAGATACATGGTGATTGATGGAACGCATTGGTTAAGTGGACCTGATGGAGGTGCCCCCCCCCCCCCCCCCCCCCACACACACACACACACACACACACACACACACACACACACATACATACCAATCCTGTTGTGCTAACCTCTGGCCTGTCTGTGGGCTAGAACCTTGACAATATACAGAGGCATCACCTTGGATTTGACCTCAGTGTTTTGTCTGGACTTTAAGAGTAATTGAGGCTGTCTGACAGGACAGGTATAGAATGGGAAAACTTGGCAATGGTGGTATTGAGAAACACCTGATTTTAAATGACTGTTTTATCACAAATAATAAGGAAACATAAGTAGTGATAGGCCGATTAGTCAGGCTGACCGATGCCTGCACTCACAATGTTAGTGCTGCCTCTTGTGTCTTTTGGGAAGGTGGTGAAAAAGTTAGTCTGGAGTCCTGTCCTATAACTCTGATGCATCCTGCTGTAAACATTTGTGTCAATTCTCTTAGTCATCATCTTTTTTCCCATCCTAAATGACAGCAGTTCTGATCTAAAAGCATTACTGGCTAGCATTATGTATAGAATAATGCAGCTGAATTACTCCTGACATACTGTACTGTCACGTCCTTAAATTAGCATATTTTATTTATTATTAAATAAATATATACTATTATTATTATTTATTAAAATCCTAGTGTTGCAGTGCTGCTGTCCTTAATGACCTCTGAGTGGTTCTAAGCTCAGACATTCAGATTCACGAAACTCCCGACACGATCATTAGCAAAGATCATTGTACAAAACACTCATGTAGGCTAGCAGCTGCTCGTTTTTTTTAGCCGGCGCTAACCATTGCTTACACAGCCTGACTAGACAACCTACTCTGCCACCTGAGCCACAGCCTACTCCTGGTGGTCCCATAACTTGATGTCCAAAATTATATCTCTTAGGATACAAAGAGGAATTTGCAAACCAAACACAAAGTAGCCTGTGGTAAAAGTTAGCAAGGTCCAGAGCTCGGGGACCTCAGGGGCAGCTCTGGCGGTGACTTTCCTTTGACTTTTTCACTTGCTCCTCCAGCAGGTCAAAGTTTTTCCCATATATCTGCTTCAATACATGGCTGTGGCTCAGGTGGGAGAGAAGGTTGTCCATTGATCACAGGGTTGGCGGTTCAATCCCCACCTCCTCCTGTCCACATGTCGAAGTGTCCTTGGGTAAGACACTGATTCCCAGTTTGCTTCCCAGCCACTGGGGATGAACGAGTCAGTGCATTCCTAATTGCCGGTCCCAAGCCCGGATAAATGGTTCCGTCAGTAAGGGCATCCAGAGTAAAAAGCCTATGCCAAATAAATACGCAGCTACAGATGATACACTGCAGCAACCCTTACAGGGAGCAAGCTGAACAGCAAAAGAACATCTACTTAAATATCTACTGGTTACACTATACCTTCTACAATATGTCATTACAAAATTATTGGTTGGATTGCCATTCATGTTGGTACAGATATTCATGGTCCCCAGGGAATGCCACCATGAGATTTACAGTTTTGATCTTACGTGAAATGACAACTATTGGATGGATCACCATGACATTTACTGCAGGGACTCATGTTCCCCACAAGATGATTTGTAATTACTTTGGAGATGCTTTTCATCTAGCAAATAAGTCTGCGCCACATGCATGAGATTAAAATCAGAACTCTGAGACTAGCTTCTGTGATGTGAACGTGGCCTTTTGCTCCTTCCCGTTGTTTTGCAGGAGCAGCCCTCATCCATACATCACGGCCCTGGAGAACCGAGTGGACTGCTGGCCGGCTCTGCTGCTGGAGATTGATGACTTCATCCAGCAGGCTGCCGACAGGTTAGCATGTCTGCGACGAAGGCCTTGAACCCTCCCATCCAATCACTTCCCTCCTTGACTGAACGAATTTCGAAGCCATCTGTGAAGAGCAGCCCATGCCAAACAACTCATCACTGCCGCTGTCAGCTGTTATTATGCAGCACTGTCAAACACATAGACACACACCACGGCACATACCAATTAAGCGTGTACACATGCGTTCAAGTGGTAGACAGCATGATGTGGTGTCACTGGATTGTATTTTTGAAAGGTGTGTGTGTGTATGTTTACTGCAGGAATGAACCAGCCTACATCACCATGCTGGCCCCCTTCCTGCGCTACCTGTACTGCGAACCTCAGAGGCAACCCCAGCATGCTCTCCTGCGACACAGTCTCCTCAGAGCGCTGGTGCCCGTACATCCAGGAGCTGGATCACACCTCCAGAAGAAGGACCAGAGAGAGACGTCCCCAGTGTCTGACAGCCTGCTGCACTGCCTCTGTCAGCTGGTGCCACACATGCAGGTGAAACACTGGTGTTGAGTGCGTTAAGGCAATTTAATATCTTTGACTTGTGCTGTTACACTGTGTGTGGCACCACTTATAAAACAGTTTTCACCACCGCAACCTTTTTAATATTTCATTTAATGTTTTTATTTTTATTTTTTACAATATTGAATCACAATGAGTAGAATGAGTTTTTTGACACAGTTCAACACAAAAATAAATAAGTTCTTGAACTGCCTAAAACTTTTTTTAAACACTGTAGCTGTGATTATATACTTTTTCGGGGGGGTAAAAGTCATCGAGACTAATATCTCAAATTTTGATAATCATAAAAGATCTCTGCTCCCCTTAAAGCCTAATTAGCTAGGTTTACATGGAGCCTAATATTCTGATTATAATCAGTTTAAAAGTCCAAACAGATTAAAAATGCTCCATATAAACACGTTAAACAGAGTAACCAGGCCCAAACCGATTGAAGTTTCAACTGGTTTCCGAGGGTTAGTTTAAACCTTTTCATAAACTGATTTTAAAGAAAAATTCTACCATGTAAACATTTAACTTAAATTTAATTTTCCAAAAAAAATTCAGCGCCCAAGATGAACTTAAACTCAAAGTCCTGAACATTATTGGAAAAAATAATAACCTATTCAAACAAGTGCACAAAAAAATGGACAATGCTGGGATAAACTGCTCAACAGATTGAAAACTGCTGGAAAACTTTGAAAACCACTTATTACAAGGCTAAACCTTAAATCTTAACAGCAGTGGATCCGACTCCATTTATAAAAGCATGGGAAAATTCATTATTTTTTGATACGTCACATAGCTGCTGAATTTATGTCTCAACAATATGATGTGAGTGAGAGTATGGTCTATTACTTGTTGGGGGAACAAATCAAAGCATTCAGAGGTGATGGTGTTGTCCTCTGTGCGGACAGGTGGACTGCGTGGAGGCGTTGCTGGAGCTGTGTGGATTCGCGGACGCTCTGCTTCAGGGTCTCGTCCTGGCCTCTGAGAAGCGCTGGAGGAACGAGAGCGTCGGGCTGCTCCTGCAGCTGCTCTGTGCCTGCCAGCGCTGCCTCCAGCTGAACGGAGACTGTCGGCCTTTTCTCAGCTTAATACAGCAGCTCCTTCCTGCCTGCCAACAGGTGATCCAATAACATTTTAGATTACTGTTTTCTCTTAACTGGAGTACTGTGCACAAACTTGCCATTTTTGCCAATATGACCTCATTATCAACATGAACACACACCACAGTAGATTGTGTGTATTGTCATTATCTGTGCTGTGTCTAACCTTTATTGTTATATACAGGAGCTTCCATTGGACGAGCTGTTGATGGGCGTGGCCCTGCTCCTGCTAGAGGCCCCTGCAGCTCAGCAGAGCAGCCTGCTCAGTCTGGGTAAATACCCTCTATAATAAATGGGGTCTAGTATTGGGCAGATGAGGGTGAGACATCCAGTACCAGTACCGCAAAGTCTGATGAGTTAGTTAGTTGTCACTACATATCTCATAATCTGGGTGTTAGGTATGTATTAGGACTATTGTTATATATTGTGTGAGATTTCAAAAATAAAGTCAAAATACTTAAAGAAAAAAGAGGCAGTGTTATGCTGTATAAAATTACAGTAATGAGTATTTGGAGATGTTTGTTTTAATAGTCCAGTGATAGTAAACAGGTGATCTGCATGATGATGTGTGAGTCTGTGACCGGACATGTTTTAAAGACATGGCGTATACAGTTTGTAACTTGGAAATGAATGACATTTAGTTTTTGAACTTAAAGGAGCATTTTCCTTTTTCCTGTTTTAAATTCTATGATTTTGTTCTCATAATACCATCACTTTGTATTGTAATATGTAGACTATAACCTAATATAATTACTACTTTATTTTCTTATTATCACTTTTTCTCATGGAATTATCCATCCTTTAACAGTGAATGGCAGTATGTAGCTTCTCTATTTTTAATAAACCAACAGTTTTTGTTATAATTCCACCTAAAGGTTGTATATATGAAATTCACTAGCCACTGGATGTCACACTAGAGCACCAGCATCCAATAAAAGACAGGCAGTCACGTGCTACTCAGCTGCACACGAGGCAGACCGAGCTATGGAAAGGCTGCGATACAACACAGGCTAACCACTATATCTTTTGACCTTCAAATCAAATGATTCAAGGGAAACCAAAAGAATCTTATCTTTAAAAACCCCACCCATGTCTTTCCAAATTGTCTCATTTACAGTATTTTATCTTTAATTGTTTTAGTAATGACTATCATACCCATGTGCATAACAAATCCTGATATGAAACACATTATAGGTTATTATATCAGTGTTGTTATAGCTGCTCCACATGCCTGTTTTAATACAGCAGACCAAATGAAAAATTCAATTTTACACACCATTAGCAAGCTGTCAGAGCCCAGAGGAAAAATATGTTTTTTTATTCCTAAAAGAATCTGAAAAGTACACACACACACACAAACACACACACACACACACACACACACCATGAATACACATCAAGAGACAGAGTGAAAAAACTTGTGAAAAGGATGAAGCACTTTGTAAAGCAAATAGTTGTAACCCTCTGTCCTCCTGTCTAGCTTCAAAAGGAATATTAGGTACTTAACACTGCACTAATTAATGTTATTATACTTGCAATGTCTCTAATGACTATATGTTATGTGAAAGGTGTTGCTCATAGTGACAAACCCACTGAGGATTATCACCAACTCTGTAGTTCCGTCCGTCTATGCCATTCTTGTCCACACCATATTTCAGAAACGCCTCGAGGGAAGTTCTACAAACTTGGCACAAATGTCCATTTGGACTCGAGGATGAACTCATTTGATTTTGGTGGTCAAAAGTCAAAGGTCAAGGTCACCGTGACATCACAAAACACATCTTAAGCCATTACTTAACCCTTTGAATAAAAATGGTCCGCTACTGCCTACATTGGTATTTTTGCTTATTGGAATGTAATTTCTTTGAGTACCTTGAAATGATTCATATCCCTTAAATCTGTACAACCTAAGCTAAAAGGTTATTTAGTCAATAAATCATAATAGTTGATGCAATTTTTGAAATTGAGTCATAAATAAATCTAAAAAATGATCAGTTTTTTCTTCTTCTATTTAATTGTATTAAATAAAAACAAGAAACGTAGTGATTCGAATATTTTTAAATATAGAAACATGAACAAAATATTTCTTGATGCTTCATAAGTTATTTGAATTCAGTATATTTTTTAGATTTTTTTGAGATATGCAAATGTTTTAGCTGCTCCTCTCCTACGCTCTACTCCACCTGCATCAGCTGGCATGACTTCCTGCCTCATTCTGAATGTCGAGCCCGCAGACAACACTGCACTGAGCTAATGGTGATCCTGTGAGTTTCACCTGCAGCTCATAGAGAGGCTTTGCATCTAGAAATGCCAGGAGAAAACAAAAGCAGCACATTTAGTAAAGCTATACTCTTCAAGAATCCATCTTTACATAGCAATCAAACACATGTGTGATGTATATGCACTGGAATCATACCATCAATATAGTGATAACTTCCATTTAACCAAAAAATACGCTTAATTAATTACTTATTATACACGTATTTACTTATTATAGTTATATAATTCTTTCAAAGTCTTCACCACATATATTATATGAGTCTGGACAGACATGGATCAACTCCAACTTGACTGGTTGGTGAAGGCATATGACCGCAGTGCATTAATTCTAGTTGATCTCAGTAATTTCCCAGACAGGAACTGTAATTTCATACAGAGGTTCCTGTGAACGACTATACAGTTTGCTACTACTCTTATTAGCTTGAAAATTTGTTCAATGTCCATTGAATTAATTCTTCTTGATTGTAAAACTTGAGAGTTTTAGTTATCTGAACATGCAAAAATTTTACATTTGTGTACAGACAGGCATGAATGCAAAATAAGGTTTCCAGTAATAAATCATATTTAGGTTTAAGTGGATCTCTGCCTGGGGTGACTACCAAATCACTTCCTGGTTCCTTCTTAATTGCATTAGTGCTTATGTGTACTGTCTCATAGCGTTGTCTCTATTTTTCCTATAATTAGTGCCAGAACACATTGTTTTTCCATCTTCTAGGAAATCATTTAGACCTGCAAAATAAAGTTTTAGCATGCATCATTGCATTAAAAGATGTAAATAAAGTGTGATTATTAAGTGTAATACATTATAAATCACAATTAAAGCTACCATAATCCTTCCTTGCTATATAGTTTCCCCTGATGCCATGTTTAAGTCCCCCTCTGTTGCTTCTTTAATTCTTCTTTTAATTCTTTTTTTCTCCTTCTTTCTCCCACTTTACAACCTAATGTGTCCATATGGATTCTTTAACCTTCATGGGATTTTTGTCTTATTCTCCTCCCTCTCTGTCTCTCTCACAGCACTGAGTTTAGTCCCTGAGCAGGCCGAGCTGTCTCCGTGGTTGAGCCCAGTCCTAGTTCTACCTGTTCTGCAGCTCCTGTCCTGCTCGGGCCTCACTGAAGCGCTGGCCGACCGGCGGACACACAGCCTCAACCAAGACTTGGCCCACAGCCTGCTCCGCAGCATCAGCAAAGAGGCGGATAAACCCAGACAGGTATTTTTTCATTAATTGTTACAACATAGAATTTAGCAAATAACAGATAAACGTTTTGTGATTTCATTTCTTTATCCCTCTCCTTTTAATCAGCCTGGTCCACCGTTGGCACTCCGTCTCACTCGCTGGTACGACGAGCTCAGCGTGGCTCTGTCCGTACTGCGGAAATTGTCAAATGATCCAGCAGCCGCAGCTGATTGGCTGCTGTCCGTCACCTCCGCCCTGACTTCCAGCCAGCACCAGCTCCGCTCCCACACCCTCATTGTGACCCATCTCATCATCATGGGTCAGGAAGACGTCTGCCAGCTGGCTCTGAAGGCGAGCCAGGCCGTCGCTGCAGCCGACCCCTGCCAGGTACATAATCCATGAGGCTTAGATCAACACACAGAGAAGCCTAGTTAAAGCACTTTTCTCTCAGGTTTTTAATAAAATACTTGAATGTTTGAGTAAGGTGCTTGGTTAAAACTGAAATATGCACATTTCACCTCAAGGCAAAACAAGCGAGTCCAGCCGTTTTTTTTCTCCTGCCAAAAACTCACCTGGAAAAACAAGAATTTTGTGTGATAGTGATCCTCCTCAGAAGAATATTCATGGATATTTATGGAGGGGTGGAACTAGCCATACTCACCACTGTGCTGCTCTCACTTGTCTTTGTAACACTGTAATCATTTACAGTTTCTTCCACTTTTTTGTTTTGTTTTCGCAGTTAAGTTACCCTACACAAACATATGAGACTTCCTGCAGATTTCTCACATTACCACCATTAAAGCTAGGGATTATGCCCACTGAGCCACTGGAAAACCTTTAATGTGAAGAAGTTTTCAGTTATTATTATTATCAGTTACAGAAGCTATCCACAGCAAAATGGAAGGGGTTTGAAATAGCCTGACATGAGGATTCTGAGGCCTCTCTACAGAAACAGCCTCCAGTGAGCACAAATCTAGAACTGTTTGAATCGCTGAACTAACAGAAGTTCATGAGGCTGTACCAAGTTGGCTGGTAACTCAGCTTCGGTAGCGTAATGTTTTCAACGTGGATGAAAAAAATATATCAATTTAAGAGTTGTTGTTTCTGTAAGTTGACTCACAGCATCTTATCCACAATTTTCATGACAGCCCCCTTCATAGCCCCACTTACAATGCTCAGATTGGTCAGCTGTTTGTACACAATGTACAGCCTAGGAAAACAGCTGTCAGTGGGCACAACATTAGACCTATTAGAACCACCCATATTGTCTTTGCGACTTTATTTTCATGGCAGTCTGTATGGGTTGGATCCATGAATTATTATGTCATTTACATTATTATTTTTTACACCTTTTGGACATGATGTGTCATTGACATTGGCTTTGAAATCCATTCCCTACCCAGCTGAAGACAAGTAGGGTACCTGTCTGCTGGATTTCCTGCAGCTGTATAAAGAGAGAGATTTAATCTGACAGACTTCCGTCTGACCCTCTGGGACTGTAAATGGAGTCACTAGCTCCTGAAGATGATGTGGAAGATCACGTGGTGCTATAGGATCCTCATTACTCGGGCTCGTTAGACACCTCAGAGTATTCCCCTGATTGTCTAATTGCTCCCAGAGTGCCGGTCGTTTGATGCGTTGGTAGAAGGTTATTGGCGTATTTGAATCCATTGTATTTCCCTCCTCGCAGTATCACATCACCTCACATCTGCCTGCTTACCATAATAAACAGTTGAAGCTCCTTGAAGGCTTGCAGCTTTGTTGCAAGAGATGAGGCTGACAAGAAAACATTGTGTGTAGATGATTTATCCATATCTATTTAATATGATTTATTGGAGTAGTGTTTTATTGATTTGAAGTTTGTGGTTAAGCAACAGAGCTTTAAGGGCTTCAACTTGAAGGAAAACCTCCATTCTCTCCTTTTCTTCCCTTGAAGCAGGTGAAGTGGTTGCTATGCAACGGCCAAGGTGCAGGGCCGCAGTAAGTGCTTTATGTTAATTAAAGGCTGTTACACTGCAGTGCTGTTGACTACATGCGTCCAAGGACCCTGACTGGTTCCTATTTTTGACCTCAGCAATAAAGGGAAAGATAAACTGTTAACCCTGCATTGTCCTTCATTCTACTCTAACTTGTATCCATGAGGCTTTAATTGAGCAGTGTGGATTAGAGTGGAAATGAGCTCAGACGTCCATGACCGTGGGTCAGACCATGAGGAGACTGGCAGCCTATAACCTGGAGTGGTTCATGTTTACGTCTGGATACTGTCACCACAGCTCTCCCTGCTGGGGTTTGTGCATATGTACAGGTTTGGTTATGGGCCTGTTCAGGAGAAGTAACTGGTCCCTGAGGTTTAAAGCATACCAAACTAATATTTTACTAGGATACAGTAGTCAAATAATTTAAAGTTACAATAACTGATTGCAGCAGAAACAAGCTGTTAACATGACATTGATGTATTAGCACTTTATAAAGTTGATACTGCAAACCTGTTAGCAAACTGTTTCTTATTTTCACATCCAGCAGTTATGGAGCAACATTAGCATATATTTAGAGTTATGTTTTATGTGATTTAATCGAATCACTGTGTTCACCAGCTAGGCTCTAACTGTGTCTGTCTGTGGTTGAGGACTGTAAAACCTAAACAGTGAGCTAAAAGAGGCAAGTTTGTCTGGTCTATCAATGCTTATTATTACAATTATAATGACACAATGGCAGAAATCACACTGAACTACTACACTTTTAATGGAAAAGCAGCATTTAATGTCCAGCTGAATCAGATCGTCATTATGTGTCATAATGAGGACACTCAAAACGAAGGTGCGGCTGTACAAAAAGCCCCAAGATGAGTTTCTGTCTGTTTGGAACATTGCAGTGTTTCCATAGATCACTGCTTCAGCGTTTGATCCTGGGTCTCTGCAGGGACAGCACATGTTTTTCTGTGCGTCACACACAGCTTATTGTCACCCATCCTTCCCACAACATCTGTAGAATATCTCTGCCTGAACACCATCTCATAGTAACTCCTAACAGGCGAGGACACCTCTGGAGCTCTCTTAAATATCTGCACACATTGTAGTCCTAGAAGCAAGACCAAAAATGTGTCACTGTGAGAATCTTTGAACTCATTTCCTACTCTGAGATGCTTGATAATTATGGTCCCTTGTTTCACTTGGGTCTTTCCTTCATTCAAACTCCCGTGTGTCTGAAGGTCCCCTCCCTGATTCCTGTTCTGTTGTTCAAACTGGGGAAGGAGAAGAATCCAGGCCTGGCTCATGCTGTGTTGAACTGCCTGCCAAACCTCGGGACTCACAAGGTACTGAGCACCTCTGGCCTCCACTCCATTTATACCCTGAACATATAAAACTCTGTATGTAGAGAGAACTCAGGGAGAATATGCTGAAAGCTCATTTCAGATGATCTAAGCCATTAACACACACCTTTGTGCTTTAATGTTCCAGCTCTGTGTCCCCATGGTGCTGCAGACTATCCACATGCTGGCCAGTACCCCCAAGCTGAGAGCAGTGGCAATGCGCCTCATGACTGCTCTTTGGAAGAAACAGGTCTGTCATAATAAATGAACAATACAATAATAATATAAATATACTCCTTAATATTTGTAACAACTGACTCTGTTCCTTCCTGTAAGGATCGAATCTACCCAGAGCTGCAGCGTCTGCTGGGCCAGCAGGACAGTCGGGTGGTGGTGGGGAGGGACACCCAGTGGGAACAGATCCTGGCCAGGGCGGCCTGCCTCAGGGACATCTGCAGAGAGAGGTCAGACCACCACACAGTGGACGTAGTGTAACATTTTTTGAGAGAGGCATGTAATGAGGATTGGATTGATTGAATACAATGGGTACTGACAAAGAATTGAGTCAAAGGAAATCATCCGTCTGATGTTTGTTCTTTGGTCATTTCTGTACATGTGCACACTGCACTGTTGTTGTGTGTTCAGTGGCACATTTGGAAAAATTAGAATCAGAATTTCTTTATTGTCATTGTCACAGATGTTATAACGAAATTGGTTGATCTGAATCTATCCTCTGTGTATTTAAGAAAGATCTAAAAATAAATAAATAAATACTACGCATACCTACATATGTAACCCACATCCATGCGTACACTCACTACACACGCTCATATATATACACACACACGCACACACACACACACCCACACAGTCACATATTCCCATGACCCACACTGATGATATTCCAAAGTGCTTACTAGAGGGGGGCTGAGGGGGGGTTTAGTGTTCAAAAGTCTTATTGTCCATGGATAGAAGGTGCTTCTAAGCCGGTTTGTCCTGCTCCCCAATACCCTGTATCGCTTCCCAGAGAGCAGGGGATTGAAGAGGCCATTGCCTGGGTGGGATGGGTCAGACAGGATCTTCTTGGCCCTGTTTAGCTCTTGCGTATTTGCAATGTCTTCCAAGGAGGTTAGAGGGCAGCCAATAATTTGCTGCACTGATTTAATGACCCCTTGCAGGGCTTTCCTGTCCTTGGCCGTGCAACCTGGGTACCATATAGTGATGCTGTATGTCAACACTCTCTCTATGGTAGAACGGTAGAAGGAACGCAGCAGGTGCACATCCAGGCCACATTTCCTCAGCAGTCTTAGGAAATGTAGCCTCTGCTGGGCCTTTCCGACTACCGCTGACGTGTTGGTGGACCATGTTAAGTTGTCAGCCACATGCACCCCAAGAAACTTAAAAGAGGAGCTTCTCTCCACGCAGTCGTCCTCTATCTGTAGTGGGGCAGGGTCAGCTCTCTTCCTCCTCCAGTCCATCACCATCTCCTTGGTTTTGCTGGCATTCAGCAGGAGGTTATTCGCTGAGCACCAGGCTGCAAGCCTCTGGACCTCCTCCCTATATGCTGTCTCATCACCGCCAGAGATGAGGCCCACCACTGTTGTGTCATCCGCGAATTTGACGATGGTCAAAGAGTGGTGGAGAGGGGCACAGTCGTAGCACATGTACATGTTGTCTGTGTTTAAACACACATATTTTGTTTAAAACGTTCAGAAAAATTGAAAACCTCATTGTGCAGTGAATGAACAGAGATATAGAAATAGAGATAATGATTTGTCATATTGTTTTCCACCTCTGTTGCCCAGATGTTGTGATTTAGGTCTTAAACAGGGAGTCTGCGACCCCTAGGGGGTCCTCAGAGTTACTGCAGGGATGTCACCAAATTATTGTTTTATCATTTCTTCAAACATTTCAATATTTCTGACTATACACATTAACATGAACCCAACATATGAGATAAAAATGTATATATATTGTACATTTTATTGTAGGCCCAGTTTAATATTCAACACAGTATATGTAGTAGGGGGTCCGTGCTCCAGCTCTCAGCTACGGGGTCCTTGGCCTGAAAAACGCAGAAAACCCCTAATTTAGAAGATTGTCATATATCATGTAAAATAGAATTTTTTGTTTGTGTGTGTGTGTGTCTCAGGCCTTACCAGCATGGAGGTGACATGTTGGCTGCGATCACACTCACACTCAACCAGTGCACCAGACCAGACATGGCAACCCCCGCTGCTCTGGCTCTGCAAGGACTACAGGAGCTGTGCCGGACAGAGGTCTAACACACACAAACACGTAGCCCATGTTTACATGTACAGTAAATGTAGCCACAGAGTTTTACGAGGCTTGTCTTGCAGGTAGTGGACATCATCTCAACGTGGAGGAGTCTGGGGCCCCAGCTGAGCTGTGACTCTCGGCCACTGATGGTTAAAGCCACAGCTGAACTTCTGGCTCTGGTTCCCCAGCTCACTGTCAAGTCAGAGGAGTACGAGGTATCTGATCCGTTTTAGGAAAGCCTTCGATTGATGCACTGTTGGAGCTTTGTCATAATGTTTTTGTGTCTTCCTGTCTGTTTGTAACTTTGGCTCCCCCTAGTGGTAGTATCAAAAATATATGAAATAATTCCACAACAATCAAAAACGTATGCCGTCAAAACAATTTGAACTATATAAAGAATCTAAACATAGTGGCCATTTCTGTGCCTGCCTCTCGGAATAAAGGTGGATGAGCTTGGCTCCTTGAGCCAATTATCATACAGGGAGCCATGCAGCCACAGGACATGTTGCGACACACCCCAACATACATAAATTAGCTGACTATGCAGCTACGGTTTAATATTTATCACATTTACGTGCCAATTTGCCTACTTTTGATTGATTAGGACAAGTTTATGTCATTATTCTACAAGTTTGTAATTTGAAAATGCAGGATATAATACAATGGTTAGCCTAGCTTAGCATGAAGACTGGAAGCAGTGGGAAGCAGCTAGTTTGGCTCTGTCCAAAGTTCAAAAATACACCTACAAACAGCTCTAAAGCCCACTGAATAACATGCTATATTTTAATATTTTATATTTTAACAACACCTCCTGTATCTATTTGAGATTACACGCTCTCTTGTGTTTCTGTGGACAGAATCTATTCATATCTTAACAGGGCCTTTATTGGACTGTATCAAAGGCAAACTCAGTATAGAAAGAAATAAGTTAAAAGATGTTAATCTTTGAGCTTTAGTGGTGTTGGAAGGTGTGTTTTTAAAGTTTGGACAGAGCAAGGCTAGCTGTTTTCCCCCACTTGAAGTCTTTATGCTAAGCTAGGCTAACCACAGCCTGATTACAGCTCTGTAAATTGATTTTCTCACTCTTAGAAAAAAATAAGCATATTTCAACAAATGTTGAACTGTTTCTGTAAAGCTTTGAGCTGGAAGAACAGGGTGGGTGCTATAACACAAGTCGATGTATCTCTGACTGATGGTTTCACTACACAGTGGTGCACTCATTTAGCTGTCTTTTTCAGTGTGAATCTAGGACTACTCAAAAATGCAAACAGAAATGATATATGAGAAACTAACAGGAATGAAAGCTCCTTAGCTTCTAATTTTGATAATCACTGTTAAAATTAGTTAGAAATCCTTCAGCTAGTGATGAGCACTGGGGGGCTGAAACTCATTTTATCAATGGCTAAATGGAATAACAGCTTATCTTTGGTGAGTCTTTAAAATATATATATGTTGTTACATATTAATTTGATATCAGACTTTCCTGACCACAATTTGTAGCAGGATTTTCGGAAACGTGAAAGTTACTACTGTTGCTTTCAAAAAATATTTTTATCTCTGTTTTTCCAGAAACTGAAAGACGAGGTGGTCAGCTTTCTGTGGAATTATGCTGTGAGCAAGGTCTGTGTACTGAAGATATCTGCACGCTGTGTGTGTGTGTGTGTGTGTGTGTACATACACACCTCTTTTCTTTCGGCCTTTGACACCATGTAGAGCGTTGATTTTATGTGTATACATGCATATTTTTATTTGTGCGGCAGTGCATTTTATTTATTTTATTTTTTATTATTTTACTTGTTTTATTCTATTTTATTTCTATTTTATTTTATTTTATTGCTTTTATCTTTTACTGTGTACTCATCTTTTATTGCTGTGTTCTATTGTGTTATCTATTTATTCTGTATATCTTTTGTGCAGCACTTTGGAGACCTTGTGTTTTGTTGAAATCGGTGCTAGTATGATAAAGTGGATTGGATTGGATTGGATACATACCCCTAAGTCTGGGGTTGCCTTGACTGAGGATTTTTGCCATCATTTACAGATTTGCCAAAGCTTTAATGAATAATTTGAATTACTTTCTGTCTATGACTGATAAAACTTTGCTGGTGCATGACTAACTGACAGACCATTAACTTCAGAGGGTTAGAGAAAGCCTCTGCTGAACTGAACACCCAGCACACTCTTAAAGCTGCACTTATAGTTATTTCTATTTCAACAATGGATCAATTGACTGTATAGCTTTTGAGCGTTTTTTTAAGTGAGTGTTTTGCTTTTATGACCCCAAAAGTCTGCTCAAAATTCCGTCATCTGTGTAGAAACAACCTCTACATATCCTACAGTGTGCTTATATGTCAAATGTTGACTCAGCAATGCATGTATAAAACTCAAAAGTAACTGTGTGTTTGCTGTAACAGGATCCAGAGGTGGCCAGCTGTGGCTACAGGGCTTTGGCAGTTTTTCCTGAAGAGGTCCACACAATAAATCTCCTTCCTGAGGCAGTAAGTCCTGCTGCACTCAACAGTTTTTACTTTTACATTGTACATTGAACAGTATTTTCTCCACATACAACTTCATTTTATTAGCTGATTTCCTCGCAAGAATGTCCACATTATATGATAAAGGAAATGTAATATTATATCTCCAATGTTAGAATAAAAGTAAAGCATAATTTACCGCCTTAATGTGTCCTTCTCTTGTCTGTTTACATCTTGCTCTGTCTGCTCTGTAGGCCAGACCAGTCACAAAGCTCCGTGAACATGAGGAGGACGAACAGGAGGAGAAAGAGGAAGAAGAGAAGGATCTCTCTGTCCCAGCCTCATCTTATGTGAAGCTGATGACTCTCACCCCCACATCTGTTCTACCAGGTAAGTTACACTCACGTTGTGCTCCAAGGTCATGCTGCATTATGCTGCTATAGTGCTTTCAGCTAGGCCAGGCACGCCATCAAACACAATTGACCCGCCCCTTTTTGCTCTGTGCTCCAATTACAGTTGAGCAAGCCTTGATCAGAACCTTGTTTCTGTACTTCGATATGTGCTTGGCTTGTCTATGTTGAAAAAATAAATTCTGCTACTCCCTCACTTCAACCTCCCCTTCCAAGCACGAAGGAGAAACTTCTTAAAAACTAACAATTAATGTAAATTAGCTACCTAGCAAGTGTTTTGCTCTGTAGCAAAATGCAAGCTAACTACTTAGCTAATTTACATGAATCATTAGTTAGCTAACTTTTAATAACATCAGCTAACCTACTAGCTGATGTTAGTACTCTAAGTACAAGAAGGGTCAGTTAGCAGTGTTTGTGGTGGGAAGCCAGTGAGGGATCATGTCAGAGGCTGTTTTGGATTTGAGGCAATATGTTGAACCTTTGTTACTGTTAAACTCCTCCGTACAGACACTTATCTTGATGCTCTTTTTCTTCTCAGCATTTGAGCTCTTCCTAACTTCACTGGTTAAGCAGGAGATGAGGCAGATGCCTCGTGGGGTATACTTCTCTGCTCTGAGGGGGGGGAACCTGCGTTCAGACCAGGGAAAAACAGTGGCAGGAATTCCATCATTCATGCTGAAAACCTACGAGAAAAACAAGCAGCCTGGGCTGAAGCCTGGACTAGCAGGTGAGCTAATTCTTCCCCTGGCTGTGTGAAGCTTAAGATGTTACATTTTTCATTATTGCTATGTAGAGATGTTTGTGTTGGATTACAATTTATTTTGCAGATGTTTATGCTATTGTGTCCACCATCCGCTGCTGTGCCCCCTTATATATTTGCCTCTGGCTCCAAGTGGCTAAAAAACTAATAGATTAAAGGTTTTTTTACTATTTGCTCACAGCCAGTGTCTTGCAAACTTTCTATAGTTGATTGTGTGTGTGTGTGTGTGTGTGTGTGTGTGTGTGTTGTAGCCGGACTGCTGCTCTGTTACGAGCTGCCTGTGCAGACAGATCGTGATGGCAGACCAATCGACCGTTTCCTCATAAGCCGCAGCCGCAGCTACCAGCAGATTTTGGCAGCCCTCATTCATGAAGTACGTGTAAACCTGTTCTTTCTCTCCTCTCAGACTCCTCTTTGGTTTCAACAATTAATAAAAAAAACTCCTGCTTATTGTTTTTTTGATTTGCAGGTGAATATTCAGCCGTCTGAATGGCACCGTGCTCTCCTCCTGCCCCAGGCCTGGCGGGGCTTCATGAGCCGAGCTTTCCACGCTGTCCTACAGGTTTGTGCTTCTGGCAACTGATAGATTGATTACATATTAATTGAAGAACTGATTAGAACTGCATGTGGTTCTAGAAAGGAAATGTTCTTCAAGGAGAGAGGGTATATTAAAAAGCAGACTGGTTTCAATCTCAGAGGCAATGAAAAACAGATTAAAAGCCCCTGTTTCCATAATTGAAAATCTTATCATGACCGTCAACACTTGACAGGCCATAAACAGCAGGCCATAAACAGCAGGAATTACAAGATATCTATCTATGGAAGCCTGTGGCTTCCAATATTGAAATGAAATTAAATAACTGAATCAAATGTAAATTTTATTTTCAGTTTGTGTGTGCATGATGTATGACATCACATTAAGGAACCATTCCATACATAAATCATAAAGTCCTGGGTTTGAATATGGCCAGAGACCGCTTGTTGCATAATGTCCAGTTTGCTGTTATACATTTTCTGTTGTTTCTAAAAAAATAAATCACATAAAATTTGAGTTAATTTCACACTTAGCTCTTTTGTTTGTTGTTGAGTTTTAATTTTAATTTTTAGCAGTAATTATGCACATTATGCATAAAAATTTAAGTGTTTTGTTTGCAAACATGATGCACAGGCTCACAGGAAAAGGCTCTGCTACACTAAATGGAACAGGACCTTAGTTAGTATCAATGCTAACACCTGTGTTTACCCTACTATTTCATAACAATATGGCTGATGTAAAAAAGGTCTATAGTCATAATGTAATTTCAAGGTTTTTCCATTGTATTGGCCTTTAAAAACCCTTTTCTTGAGTTTGGCAGAATGATGCCCTGCGTGGTAAAGATAACTCTGGTTTTCTGTGTGTGTCTTCAGGGTCGACGTGCTGATTTGGAGATACAGCAGAAACAAGGCAAAGAGAACCCACAGGAGCTACAGTACAAACAACACTGTGCCTGGCTGTGGTGAGCATTACTTAGACACATAAACTGCTACCTGTATGTCTACACACACACACTAAAATATTTTACTCGTAAAGGGGTTCAGTGGTATCTAGTATATGGTACCATTTTACAGGCTGTCAAAATAATGATACTTTTATTATTACCTTATTGATTCTTTTCTCTAAACTCAATTTTCAGGACATTGTAGCTCAACATGAGCAAGCCTGATGGATGTGTATGTGAAAAATGTTACTAAATTAGTTTTTTTCATGGATATTTTTTAAAGCACCTAAGATATACATTAATTCAAGACAGGTAGCGACATTTCCTCAGCCAAGGCAGAGGCTCCAGAAACAACTGTGTAGGGTGGCTGCTGAATCATGACCAGTGAAGAGCACGCTGCCCCAGACACCTCCACTTATCTAAAGTACTCAGACAAGATTGCCATTTTTTCTTGTCCATTGTCATGGCAACTTGGACCCAAACAAAAACACAAATGCTCAGTCTTGCCGCACTATGGATCATAGAGATGTGAAACTTGCTGAATATGAATTTTCTGAAGTCATTCTGGGTTTTATATTTCAGTGACAAATTCAGATGACATTCAGAAATCCTGTAGAATAGTTTAAACATATATATTATATATATCAGACAGTCAACACCCACTGAGCCCTCTAACATTGTAACCTTATGATCAAAGCTTAACTACAGATGTTTTTTCAAATCAGAGGATCTGCTGTAGGGAGGAAAGCAAGGAAAGACCCAGTGAGTAGGTAAGGATGGGCAGTGAATGTGCTTAAATGTGCCAAAAATAGAAATATCAAATATAGATAGATATAAAAAGTATAAAATAAAGTATTTGAAAAAAATTATACTACCTTTTATAGGAGTAGCCCGTAACGCGAAGCCCCCATCTCCCCCGGCATCGTCATAATGCCAGTTTGCTAAACATTGCCTTACCCTAATATATATCGACACATTTATACAGACCGTGATGGAAGTATCAGCAAGCAACAAATCTTAAAACACACACACATCTTAGCACATCAAACATCTGCTGCAGGAACCAGGTGACTGATGCAGCAGTCTGAGATGAAAGGAGAGAGTGTGTGTTTGTTCATACATCATTGCATTAGCAGAAGAAAGATCCTCCTTTTATGCAGCGATGACGTTGAAATCACTGTTTCTCTTTCATCCTTTCTTCCTCATCTTTATTTCTCTCTCCATCCTTTCCTTCTCACCCCTCTCAGGGCCAGAGATCAGCTGGCAGATGTCATCCAAGCTGCTACAAAGTGAGTCCCCTGCTTGTGATCACTACATTTAAACATCCACAGGAAACAACACAGCTGGTTACAAAGACGATATATTGAGTTCGATCAGAGGTGTGATCACTGACCTGTGCTATGCTCTTGGTGTTCCTCAGGGACAGTCCTGTCGTTCAGGGAAACTCCATCCTGGCTCTGAGCGGCCTGGCAGCCGTCCTCGCTAAATATGAGAGCAACCTGCCTGCTGATAGTGACGGCAGCCTCGGGGTAACACTTACACACATATTTGAACTCTGTGAGATTTACTTTATAGTGTCACTGTCATTGCAAAAGTTCAACTTTGGTTGCTCTTCATCAAAGTGATGTTAAGTTTATTGTGTAAATATAAGTTATTTGAGTTATAATAAATCATCTAATTTAAAGTGATTTAATACAGTTATTATTAGATTATCATGATAAAGATCATGGTAGGATTACAAGTGTATGGAAGTACAGCTAATGTATAAAACTATATAAATAATCTTTACTAATTGGTCACTGTAGGCCGGACCAGAGTTTGTGCCCACAGCCAGCTGGTTGGCCATGGTTCTCAACACCCTGCTCAGCATCAGCAGCAGCGGCTACAAGGCCAGAGGACAAGTCTTCCCATGGTTCCTACATGTAAGAGTTTTTTTGCTTGATTTTTTTTTTTTGTGTATTTGTCTGCCCTAATAGCAATTATCGATTCATTGTGCAGCCCTACAGTACATCCATCAAATTACATTGAACACAAGTGTGAAAACCTAAGCCAAGCCAAACGTATAGAGCTGAAACAGACTTTAATGTGTAAAGTCGGTGGCGTTCTTCTTTACAGCCAGTATGCAACCAAAAACGTATTATATATATATATATATA